CGTCAGCTGCCGTGACAACTCATGGTGGTTAGAATAAGTTATGAGAGGACCCGAGTCCGTAGGTTTCCCAAGAAAATGAAGAAGATATGTACTAAAACACTTAAATTTACTACATATGGACTAGGTGCTGCGAGGCTCGTATATCACAAGTTTTTTACAACGATTAAGTAGATAAAACAAAGTAGCATTGGGTTTAAGAATTTATTCAGGAACTTTCATTAAGAATCGAATATCAAACAAAGGTTTAAACGAAGTCCCCGTTTAAAAGTTGCACTGGTAATGTTAGGCTGCAGTCTTGGTTGTTTTTTTCCAAACGAAAGGGTAAAGGAAGTAACTCAAAAAGTGCTGGAAGTGATTGTGAGACTAAAATGGAAGTCCAGCATCCTTTTTATAATCTGCTGTTAGTTGGGTCTCCCGTAAACAGTTTCATAGGGCCATAGTTCTAGGGGCGAAATAGTTCTTAGGATCTGTGAAAGCCCACTCCTGTTGCATTATAAATGAGAAAATAGTAATGAATTTAGTCAGAAATGTGGAATAGATAAATAACCAAATTACATGTTTTTTTAGGAAAGAATTTATGCAGATATGACTTACCTTGAGTTCATGAATATTAGATCAGGTCAGCTACTATTACTTGTGCAAAGCATAACATGGACTTAGTACCGTATCGCAATGCTTTTATTATTTTGCTCTCATTTAAGTATTCCCATGCATCTGCGTCTAGTTTAACAGGAAGACATACAAGCAGAGTTAGTGTCTGATAAACTAAAAGTCCCAGTCGTCAAAAAGATTGTTAACATTTGTCCACAGCCAGCTGCATTTAATTGAGACACAGAACCCTCATCTTCTAAGACTGTATACTGCTCTTCTGCAGGCAAATAAAAGCTCAGATACTTAGCTATCCTGCTACCGATGTTATTGCTGGGGAAATCGCCTAATGACAGTGATCTTAGAATACAGTCACTGATAGATGTACAGTCTAGAAATAAACATCAAACATTCTTGAAGCTATCTTATAATGTATTACAGCAACAGTACCAATGGCATTTCTTTCCTTTTTTCAATCAGACTGATTTGAATCAGTATACACATTAGAAACAGGCAGCTCTACTTACTAAACTGATCTGTTTCGTTACAGGCTTCAACCACTAAACTTAAGTATACTATAATTCTATCGACTAATCTAAATTATAACGGCAATCAAGAATACTAAACCAAGCAAGATTCATAAGATCACAGGATAGACAGACATCATCATGCATTGCGAAACATTTTTTTGATATCAAATCAGCATTTGTTGTGTTGTACGAAAGCCTTCAAGGACGTATACTAAGGTTTATAGAAGCCTTGGCTATACGAAAATTGAAACCTCCTTTATGTTTTCAAAAACAATTTGTGCTTACACTTAACCTAGCCTGGTAGTACTGATTTGCTATCCAGAGTGGTAATCACATTTGTTTTTGTGTACTTAAATATTTTTCATTTGTTATGACTTACCCTTAGCCTGTCTAGTTGACCTCTTAATTTTCATATATAAATGTTCTTAACAAGTATATATGTGATCAGATTGTTCGAAATGTATTGCGCAAATATATCTCACAGTCCTGATAAACTACGTCTTCTCATTGCATTATCAAAATGTCATAAATATCGTTCCATTTGCACAGACATATTGCGGAACGGAACATGAAAAAGAAAAGAAGTTCCATTTTCTTGATATATAGTCGGCATGAAGTACAGTATAGTAAAAAAAGAAAAAGTACAGTGAAAATTTCGGCTCCTCGTAAACTTCATCGTTCTTTTCCTGCCGTCCTGGAAAAGAAAGAAGAAAATGTTACTGCATACCGAAATACACTCGTACGCGCGTAAAAACAATTCCGGCGAAAAAATGGAATATAAACTCATATACACGTGATACCGTTAAAAATGATTTTTACAAAGTTTTTTTTGTTTTTTCGAAGTAAAAATATATAAACATATTAAAACTGTTTTTTATAAAATATTACATATGGTAAAAAATCGAGATAATATAAAATGTCATGTAGTGCCTTACGTGCAATAATCGTTTAAATGTTCTGGAAATCTTACCCTTCTTCCAGAACGCGTCGTCTTAAGTTTATTTTCTGGTTCTATTGAACTATCATCGGGTGTGTTGCCTGTCGGTTGGGATATTATAAGCGTGGGAGTCGTGTTGTGCGATTGTACCAAAGGGAAATTGATATGAATAAGATTTCCTTCTAAATGCGCTACTTCTAATCGATCGATGCTGATGCTATCGTTTGTTCCGTTCTTATCGACCATATAGTACTTAGATTCACGTTGAAGAACTTTGAAAGGTCCTTCGTATGCTGATTCGAATGGTCGTCAATGCGAGTCTCGACGAACGAAAACGTGTGTACTATATGGTGAGTCAGGTTGAACGAAAACATCGGTTGATTGTGTTCGAGTGGAAGCAGGTTTAACTGAACGCATTGCAATTGTAAACCTGTTCGTGTAGGATGTCAGATCCATGTTCATTGAAGAGGATGAAGGATCCACGAATTCCGGAAGTCGGAGTGTTGCTACATAAACGAGTTGAGCTGCAGTGTATCCGATGTCAGCTTTCACTGCATTGCGAATACCTAGTAAGACGAGTGGAAGAGCATCGGTCCACTGTGAAAAGTTTGCAGCTGATAGTGAAGCTTTTAGTTGTCGGCGAAAACGTTCAACCGACTCGTTTGCTTGTGGGTGGTAGGCGGTCGTTCGGAAGCGAGTGATTCCTAAAAGTGTGGTCAGACGACGGAAAGGTTCAAATTCAAACTGACGTCCGCGGCCTGTAGTGATGGTTGAAGGGCAGTCGAAGTTTGCTGCCCATCGTTCGACGAAGGCGTGGGCCACTGTTTCGGTAGTGATGTCCCTGAGAGATACTGGTTCTGGCCATCGAGTGAAACGGTCTACGCAGGTTAAGAGATAAGAGTATCCATTTGAATCTGGTAAATGTCCTACCAAATCCAGATGAACATTGTCGAAACAAACGTCCGGAGTTTTGAAAGAGCCTAAGGGACAATTGTTTTGTCTGATAACATTAGATTTTTGACAGCCCACACAGGAGCGTGCCCACTCCCTCACGTCTTCATTCATGCCAGGCCAGCAAAACCATTCTGCTATGAGCTTGATGGTTGAACGAACACCTGGATGAAAACGTTTGTGCAACGTATTGAAGACATTGCGTCGATAACGTCTCGGCACGATTGGGTGATCCCCACCTGTAGATGTGTCACGAAGTATGGTTTCCTTACCTGTTCCCATCTGCTTGATGCGTAGTTTGAGGGTTGTAGACGATAACTCGTGCTGAAGATCAGTGTCTTCTTTCTGAAGCTGGGTGAGTTTCAGTAGGTCGATTCCTTGGAAACTGTTCATGGAATTTATTCGAGACAAGGCGTCTGCGACTACATTGTTTGCTCCAGAAATGTGTTGAATATCTGCAGTAAACTACGAAATGTAGTCCAGTTGTCGAGACTCACGTGGTGAGTACTTGTCTGAAGAGGAGCTTAAGGAGAAAGTAAGACGTTTATGGTCAGTGAAAAGGGTAAATTCATGGCTTTCGATAGAGTGTTGAAAATGCCGCAGAGCACAATACATAGCTAGGAGTTCCCTACCGAATGTGTTGTACCTCGATTCAGTGTCTAGCAACCGTCTAGAGCAAAATGCCAAAGGTTGCCAGGAGTGGTTAACCCATTGTTGTAGGACTCCTTCCATTGCTTAGTCGGATGCGTCTACTGCGATACTAATGAGTGCTTGAGTGTCCTGATGTGCATGCATTGTTGCTTGAGCGATAAATTCCTTAATTGTGGAGAATGCAAGTTTAAAACTGATTCGTGAGGCCTGTCGTTAGAATTTTCAGGAAGAACGCTGACTTTTGCGCCACTATCGACGAGGTAACGAACTCTCGTTATCACATCGATGATGTATAACAAACGGCTATGATCGCCGGCTATGGTTGCCGTTACCACGTGTCGGCTAGGAAGTTTCCCGAATTATTTTTCGTGTCTGTCGATTTTGAGTTGGGAAAATTGCAGGGTTTCCTACAAATTCTGGAGGACTTTCCATACTGGTTATGATACCAGTACCATTCGGGGTTATCAGTCTCTCGTAGTCTAGAGGCGGATCGCTTTCATGAAGTGCTTCTTCTCAGGGTGTGTGACAATTTACGGTCTTTACAAAATTAAAGATAACGTGTGAGTGTATGACATAACTCTGTTATGTCATTCCGCGGCGTTTGAGGTTTTTGTTGACTAAAAGAACCTCGGCAATAGAAGATTCCGTGATTTCTAAAATACGATCGGCAGATGCATCTAGCTCGTCTACGGCGTTGTTTTGAAATGAGACCAGCACAGCTTGCACCTGTTGAGGATGTTTGGATAAGAAAAGTTGCTTAAATAGGCCATCATCGAAGGTTTATTATTATTATTATTAATGGCTTTGTTCAATATTATATTTTGGTACAATATAGAATTCTCTGGCCAATAACCTCTCTCATGCTTTGCAACATATCTGTCGCAGAACCGTGTTGCAGATCGACGTTATTTAGTAGTTGGTCCAACCTTTGTCGATCGGTTAGGTCTCCGCGTTTAAGTAGAGATCGTTTAAGTGTTTCGTAGGGTTCAGAAACATCACTGAAAGACATACTAGGTGTTACGTACCTGTCGAATTCTCGCGGTAGTGCCCTAGTACCCGTCAGACATCAGCATTTGTCCTTAAAACTGTTATACAGTGTAAACATACCCAGTGGTGGTTGTTCGGATAACTGAAGCTTTCTTCCTAAAATAACTTTTTGAACTTATAACTAACCTACTAACTAGGCTTCTGAGGAGATAATTTTCAATTGAATCAAAAATTATCTTTTCTTTTAGAGAAAATTCTATTTTATATGATGTTCGATAACTTTACATGAACTAGTGATTAAATTTATCATCTGCTCTGCATTGAGTAACATCATTGGACAATGAATAATATATTCCGCTCTGTTTGATTATTGGCCCTATGTTTGGTCTACATAACTTACAAAGACAAGTCGGCAAGTTCTTGAGCGATGTTAGCTTTTAATGTGTTAATCTTGATAAAAAATGAGTATTTCAGCTATGTCTGAGCCGTCCAACATTAACGCTGATAGAGAAGATTTTCTTACTCATTAATAAATAAGATCTCTATAATTATAGAGATAACAACTTTTCATGGTTCTTTGTCCATCACATACGAAACACTTTGAAATCTGTGGGTCCTCATACAACTTTCGTGATACGCTGTCAATATGTCAGGTTCAATATACCTATGCCTATACTTATACCTAATGCCTATCAACTCGGAAAAGTGTGTCTACATGCACTTGGGGGATTCAAAGGTTAATACGTACAACATAGGGGATGTGTCATTACCCGTAGTCCGGTCTCATAAGGACCTAGGGGTGACAGTGAGTAATGATCTTAAGACGACGGCACATTGGCGGGAGGTCGCAGTTAAGGGGTTTCGAACCCTCTGGGCTTTAAAAAGGACATTCACTAAGCTTGATACTACCATGTTCACCACATTATACACATCCTTAGTGAGAACTAAGTTAGAGAACTGTGTTCAGGCTGCAAGCCCCTGTTTAAAAGGTGACTCAGACATACTAGAAAAGGTACAGAGGGCAGCTACGCGTGCAATTCCGGAACTCCGGGGTTTATCATGAAAAGAGCGGCTTGAAAAACTGAACCTCTTTACTCTGTCCTATCGCAGACTAAGGGGAGATCTAATATTGATGTACAGAATACTGAGAAATGATTTCGGACCTAACTTTCTTCCCACTAGATCGGGACACCTCAGAGGACATAGCAGGCGAGTAGAAAAGCCAAGAACGAACAAAATACCCCTGGCATACAGGTTTCCACACCGAGTCATCAATACTTGGAACCTGCTGCCTGAAGCAGTGGTATTCGCACCTTCAATTGACTCTTTCAAGAGAAGACTGGACACTCACAGAAGCATACTAGAAAAGGAATAACATAGGCCGTAGGCCTTCTGTCCTTACTACGCAAATCTGAATGTTCTAGTTAGATATAGCATTATCGACACCTTGTATACAGGGTGTTATAACCCGAGTTCCCACCTTTAAGGAAATTTTTGGGAAGCTCTCGAAGTCAAATGACCTTGACCAGGGTTAAAGGGGAAATATTGGAGAATTTCCCCAAAATGTGCCAAATTTTCACCGATATTGGGAGCTCGGGAACTTATTGTGCAAGTGGGATATCCGTTTACCAATCAAGTTACGTTTTCGCAGCTCAGTAGCCCTCTCTGTAATAATATATCGCCGTGAAACAGGGTCTTCTGAGGCATCAGATATGCATAGGCTACAGGATTTTAATCGCAGGTGTCTTCGGAGCATTGATCACTTATCATAGAACAGCAGAGTAAGGTGTCTTGGTGCTAAATACGGTGAACTAAGCAGACAAGGCGAGCCCGTTGATAAGGCTGTGGGTCTTTGCAAACAGGTAATTGGGAGATATCATTCATGACCAACTACTCGACGGTCAATGTCGGTTGGAGTAGGAGTAGGTTGGAATAAAGCCAAGAGCTTTCGATTCAACTGTGGCACCTTTTCATGAAGTCACTAACTGTTGGTTGACTTATATCGACAAGTGAAGACTAACTGGTTGACGTCCGTTCGATAACTGTAACGCGTAATTGGAGACGGGTCAAGGCTCGTAATCAGTTGCAGTGCCTCCAGATGTATTTACTCCTTGTCTTACTCGAGATATTCAGTATTTTTTTAAAAAATACCTCCTGTAATCTCGAGCCTTACCAGAGGCGCTATCAGCCTAGTCCATAATATATTATTCTTCAGTAAAGAAGAACTAGTTTCGTCATTTTAATATGTTAACCTGCCATCATATGAGTATCAATCATATTAACTACTTAGAAGGTAATATACCAAATATCAAATGAATTGCAGAGGTTACACTTCAGTAAAAACAAAGGATTTTATACATTCAAACATACTTTTTGTTCAGATGCGTTCTGTATCATTCAAAAGGACTATAGATTTCGCGTGATTTTTTTAGGATTTTACTCTCTGATTCCATGAAACGGGCAAAACAGGAAAGAGAACTGACAGATGAAGAGCGTAATATCGTGATATCAGTACGTCATTGTGCGCGAGAATTGGACGATGTCTTACAGGGTGCACGTAGAAAAGCTCAGTCGAATCCCAAAGTATTTGCGGAGACAGGAATTAGTGTCATGTTTAGAGGTGTTGACTCTTATGCGGATATGTATGAAAAATTGGGTGTGAAGTCAAGAGATGGATTAGAAAGATTATTTTCTAAATTTTCTGACTGTGAAGAAATTCAGGATACTCAAGATGCAATCGAAGAAACTGAAGGAAACTGGAGAAATTTCCTAGTTAATCTTGATAAGGAGGTTGCACATGATGAGCATGAAAATAGTAGAGTTAATTCAGTATCTAAACCCGAGAACCTTTCTGATGTGGAATGTGATTATTTATTCTTACCATCACTACCACTTATTGACTGGCAAACCAGCCGTGAAGTTAACTTGCAAGATTATGTCCAAAAATACATGTGCCTTGTAGTCATCTGTCAGCCTGCATACTGGCCAGATACTGCTGTTCGTTGGCGTTATTCAGAGGTATCAAAAGCCCAGGTAAATTTCCCACTCCAAAATTAATTATTTTACGAATAACAATATTTTTAGAGTAACGCTACAGAAAACGTTTCGCTATCAAATTTACCATTAGTGTATTTCAGTAACCACATATACTTACTACTACCTATGTTCACATGTGCCAGGTCCTACATTTCATATCACTAACTGACTAGGAACTTCATATTCCTTGATATATTTGTATCCATGGCCATCTGGATCACACTGTCGATTTAATAGTGCGTTAACAAAACTGACGTCAAGTTAGGCTATTGCTATTTCATTATGTAGAGGCTACATGTTTTTGCCATTACTTGATCTTACGATCCGTCCTTCTTTATGGCAGTGAAACATGGCCGGTAAGAGTAGAGGATATTCGTAGGCTACTAGTATTCGATCATAGGTGTCTTCGAAACATTGCTCGTATATCCTGGGACCATCGAGTAAGTAACACAGTTGTTAGGAAACGGGTACTAGGTAAGGATAGCAAATCAATTGATGAATTAGTGAAACTTCATCAGTTGAGGTGGCTGGGACACGTGTTACGTATGTCCAACGACCGACTGCCTCGACGTGCTATGTTCAGTGGTATAGGAGTAGGTTGGAAAAAAGCTAGGGGCGGCCAAACCAAAACATGGCACAAGTCCATGAAGTCACTGACAAGTGGACTGAGTCATGTTGGTAGGTGCAGACTACCTGGTTGGGGACCGCGAGATGATAGCAACCGATGATTAGAGACCCTGAATGACATGGCTCAAAATCGTTTGCAATGGCGCAGGTGCATCCACTCTCTGTGTTCTCCCAAATTCTAATCTTCTGAATTCTTCATGTCCCTTTTTTCCTCTTCCCAAATTTATTTCACTGGATTATACTCCTTGAATAACATCTCCAAACCCTAATCTTCCCGATTACTGCTTATACTCTTGCTACCTCTACCACTACGGGATTTGAATCGACAACTGCATCTCTGTGCTTATGTGGTGTGGCAACTCGAACTGATGTACGTACGTACGAAGTTCTACGTTGTTACTGACTGACTGATCTTACGATCGGCGGTTTCCTATATATCACCTATTACCTTGTTTTGCTACCCATTTCTTGTTCCTGAACTTTCGAAGGATTTCTGTGTTTCATAGATCGCCAAAAACAACTAGTTTAGTGAGTAGTATATCTTTCAACTTCATTATGAACATAGTTGTTGATCGAAATTCAGAATTCTCTCATATATACACCATCCACTCCGTTCATGTGGTTCCCGTTGTATATTCACTAGTATAACGAGATGTAGTACACTAAAATTCTTCCACGTGAAATATATTGTGCGACTTGTAGGAGCTGGCCTAACCAAAAACCAATGCTCTTAAACATACAGATGACTCACCACTGTAAAGATTCTTACCTTCTAAAGATTTTATTTAATTTTATTTCTCCTGTAGATGTATGTCTAAATAGTATAAAATGATTTTGTTTGAACATGTTGAGAATTGTACTAAAAACACAACAGAGCAATGCCATTATCATTATCGTTAATACGATGCGTTGAGCTACTGTTCATAGTCACGAAAATTTGTTATGGTAAACTGACTTCCTTCTGAGTATTAATATTAAATTTAGTCTGACCATTATCTTCATGTCTTATCTATATCAGACTGAAAATGAGGCAGACAATCGATTTGAGACGTGGCATTAACAGACACAGGCCCAAATTAAGACAATTCACATCAGTAACCGATTTCCGCCTGTCACCTGCAATCTCTTAGCATTGGGTACGGTCATCACCCTGAATCCAAACAAGAAATATGAACTTGCTCATATGACTCCAACTAGCAATCAATGGCCCCAAATGCTGTGGTACGACCGGAGCAAGGAGAGTTAGCTCTCCATCTCGAAATGCACTCACATGGCCACGCGTATACAGCCACTGCCAGGGAGGTCCTTCTCGCGGCAAGGGTGTTGTTTACGAAATTGAGAGGACGAAACGCAAATGTTCGGTGCTTTACCTGGGTTGGTGGATACGGAGGGTCCACCTAGGAAAGTTGGGAAACCCTGATTCCAAATCGATGGTGCACATGAGCTCCAGGATCCTGAAGGAACAAATGGCATACGAACCAAATGTTGGTCACTGGCTACCATGAGAGTGCGTCTCCTAAAGTTGCTTCACTGTCTTATGAATTAGACTTCCGGATCAAAGGTTCCAGATGTGCCCCCCTAGGAAAACCACCTATTTCGGTTTGGGCACCTGGGCAGTATTACAGCCCCCACATCAATGATAAGTGCTACTGGCCTCATTGTTATTGTGTGGTGCATATGTAACTGATTCCCTCTTGTACCAATGTTTGTGTTCAGATAAATAAGGAATCAGTGACTTTATGTACCTATGCCACGTCAGTTTTACTTTCAGTAGTGTTTATCCTCTACCATTGATTTTAGTACTTCAAGGAATATGATTTCACAAAATAGAATCCTTACTACGTAATTCTCAAGAAGCTGTCTGTCAGGCAGATATTTTACTGTTCATTACGTTTTCAGTGGAATTCGAAACGTTCTAATTAGAAATCCCGCGAACTGATATCAACTAATAAAGACACATATTTCTCACTAGTTTTCAATATTTGTATTCAATGCGAAGGGATATTGATAGTACTGATTGTCAAAATTTTCAAAGTATGATAAAATTGTATGTGGTAAACCTTATTCTCAGTTGATCTTCAAATGGTACCTTTTTCATTTGGTTGAGTGGTTTGCGGAAATTAGTTGAATTCGGTGATAGTTCAGACTAATATAGTAATATATTTCTCCATTAATTCGTTCAAAGAAGTTATGATCTAGTAGTTTACTAACATTGACGTCGAAATGGAGGCATTTATGCCTCAACCATATCAGTTTAGACGTCACGGTAAGTCATAAATTCATAGTTTTTAGATGTAACATACTATTTTTTCTATTTATTTTAGATAGTTTATTTAAATTAATTATATTCTGTACAATTTTTTCCTCTTTGTGTTATGAAATTGATTTTACGTTTATGTAATTTCAAACTTCTTTTTTAAAGTGTGATCTATCCCAGTTCAACGTTGGATACGCAGTTATTACATGGGGCCCAGCAGATGAAGTGCGGAGTTGGTGTAAACAAGTTAATCGAATTACAAAGTGGCCGGTTTTATGGGATAAATCAGGCGATTTTCGAGCTAAAATAGGATTTAAATCAGGTTTACAACGTGTTAGTCTACAAAATCCCCTTTTTAGCCCATACTTTTCATAAAATCAGTTTTCATTATTGCATTTCAATATCATGCAATATGAAGTGCATTAACTAATTAGTACCATGGTCATGTTTATGTATTTTTCACAAACAATAGTTTCACACTCTTGGAAGATATTATTGTCTATGCGAGTCAAGTTTACGTATTAGCGTGAGCAATCTTACTACATGCTTGTAGAACTTGACGTTTTGAGCTGAGGATGTTTACTGTCTCAATGCGATCATCGTCGTCTCCCGACAATTGCTCACATCCTATTCTGATATCCAATATTATGTGCTTTGGAAAAACCCAACTATGACTGTCACCTTGACGTGGTGCTTGAACTTGAATATTGTGATGACCCGATCGGACTGTTTTGGTTGGAATACTCATTCCCTTAGGTCCTACCATGCCTGGCAAGCTGTTCAAAGAGCAGTAAGACTAAAAGCAGCAAACTCATGATCCGAAGTTGTACTGCTGGCTGTATAGGAGTATGCTGGCATTAAGGGTTTTTTCTTCAGACACTTAACATCTACAGCGGTACTGCCTCCCCACAACGAAAGGAGGAAGTTAGATAAGGTCGACCTTGAAAACGGTATACCTCACCTTGCTATATGGATTTCTGTCTTTAGCGACAAGGTCTTAGAAGTAAGTAGCTAGTTTTCCTAAAATTATTCACAAAAGGGTAATGTGTAACCAGCCTTATGCAGTTGTCCGTCAGGTAATGAACTTACGATTTCGGGTTAGCAAAAACTGCCTTTAACCCAGTCTCACTTTTAGGTACCCGAGAAAGTTTTCTTTCTTAGTGTGAGCAAAAGGTAAGTTATAGCCAACTTCACCTCTGGGAAAGCTCTAAGTTAATGGTTAACAATCATATAGGTATTACCATCTTGAAATACTAATATTAATGGCTTGGGCACGTTTTATGTTGTCCTAGCGGCTCCACACCGCACATTATTTGTTGTTAGTGTGATTATATAAAAAACTCGATAATAGATAGTTCTTGACTCCGAAAATCCCCAACATTGTGAATTAAAACAACATATATAGGTGAACAATAAGGTTTGCAATTCGATCCTTCTCAGGCTTTATTCTAATATATAAGGATGCTTAATATGCATGTATAAAATTATTAAACCAATCAAGGCATTTTACGGGTCATTGATAACAGTGGGATAGATAACATAGATAAACGTTAAGTCAAAATTGATGTGATGATTTTAAAGTCACATAGGGATCTGATTGCATTTCAACACGAATCCAGCTACTCCTGTGGAGAGCGCTATATTGTGCGCACAACTAGACCACTGAGCCGACGAGTTAATGAGCACCTCTCTTCGCAGTTGGAAAAGGCTTCATGAAAACAATACACAGCTGTGTTTTATAACACTTGATCGAGTGTTTATGTAGGAGTAGTAAATAAGTCATTTAACGTGATCTTTGGTATGCATACTAGTCTTCCTTATGAGGTTCAATCTCGTCGCTTATACATTCCAGAAGCTGTAGGGATTACAGCTGACAATCCAATTCTTTGGGTTCATAAGGAATTCGTGACTTATTCCACCCTTGGTCGGATTAGCCTTAGTAAACGACTTTACTTATTATTATTTTCCATATTCCTCGTCCCATTGATTTTCTTTACCCCTTTTTCCAAATATGCGCTTCACTGTGTAGTTGGTTGGATACTTCTTCTTACGTAATTTTTGAGGAACATTATTCCATCTGTTTTTTTCAGGTCCTTAACCTACTTTCTATGATGATACATTGATTGCCATAACTAATACATCTGTAATCATGCTATCGATTCCTGCTGTTTACTTATTATGTTTATTTATGTAATCTTTTCCACTGTTATCACTGACTTCCTTGATTGATATAATAATTTCATAAATGCATATAAATATTATTGTATATTAGAGTAAAGCCTTATAAGGATTTAATTGAAAACAATGTTCTAATTTTTGACGTGTCATCCTGACGTAAAGGATAATGGAGTTGAGTTTACATCCACTTTTCACTCAAGTACCTTTAGATGAGGCAACTAAGACATCACCAGAAAAGATTTGAAATAAGAGTTAGTAAAAATGTATTTTGAATATATATTTTTCGCAAACATTAAAAGGGCACTGGGTTGTGTTTTTACTCAGTGCTTTGTTTAATACATGTTCTCCCCTTTCTCCCTAACCCTGGCATCTTGCTGTTTCATGCACATCTTGATGTCTTATTTTATCGAATCTTCTTTATAGGTAGTATTTTTACATAAATACTTCGTAGTTTGGTTGTATGCACTTGACAGACTCACCATTGTAATGTACGCCCATAGTGAATTTTAGCTTTTATTGTATATTTATTACAAGCTGTCAGATATTTGGAAACGTTTACCACCTAGACTATACATATATCAAGATATCTAAAAAAAAATTTGGTCGCCCAGCCCAATTATGTTTATACCACTAAGATTTACAGGGTGTTTGTGCATTAGATTTTTATCCCCTAATAACTCATTGGAGTGTAGGATAGAAATTATAGTGATAATACCACTCTTGTTTTAACAGTGTTCTACTATGCAGTGTTCCTCAATTAGGAGTGAGGGTTATTTTCTCTTGCATTATCTTTAAATTTTTTTTACAAAGCATAAACTTGCTATAGGGATGAGATATGCCTCTGAAAATGATTACAAACGTATTAGTGATGTATCTTCACACAACTCACTCATAAGAACCATGTCTTAGAACAGTACTTTTAGACATACCACAGAGAGGATTTACATCGAACTTCCCTCTTAGGAAAATCTTAGCCGTGATATTTTTCGCGTATACTTTACTGTTTTGATGAGACCAAAATGAATGCTACCCAATAATTTCACCTTATTACGTTGTGTAAATTTACCAAGGTCTTAATAAGTTTTTATCATATATAAAAGCAGTAATTAAATCTTATTGTTCCGTTACTTAATGGATATAGGTATGGGCCGCTGAAAATCTGGATTTCCTTGGTTGTCAACGTTCAATGCATCATCGTCCGATAAATTCACCGCCAACTAATCTCAACTGGTCAGAATGGAAACAAATCGGTGGCGAATTAGTTTTATCTCAGCCTGTCTTATGGAACCCACAAAAGACAATGAAATCTAACATATATGTAGCAACACAAACAAGTGTAAAACATAAGCGCAATACTCATGAAAGTGATGAAGAAGATAGATCCAATGAAGAAGACGTGCACTCAGAATCACTTAAAGTATCAATTAGAGAGGCCCTTCGTGATAAAGAAGCCATGAGTTCAAAACAGGTCAAAGTTTGTGCATTGCACCTAAGTACTCGTATTTCGGATCTCATGCCATCAGGTTCGATATATCAAGCTGCTTTAACGTGTTATGCTCGTACACACAATACTACAGAAAGCGATGTCATGGATAAAATTAGAAGAGATCGCAGGTTTTGTACACCACCTGAATCAGCTCGATTACAGTACGAAGCAACTACCGGTTTATATTATGACCCAGAAACTGCTTTATATTATGACCCACTAAGAGGTTATTTCTATGATTCAACGAATCAAATGTACTACTATTGGTCTCAATCTGAAGGACGATATATCTTAGCCAATACATTGATTCAAGCTGAACTTGCTGCTGCGCATGTAGCTCAAGCAGTAGCAGCCCAAGCTGCCGCAGACAAAGCTATGGCTGAGCGAGAAGCTGCTAAGAAGGCGGCCATGTGTGTAGCCGCGCAATTGGCGGAGATACGTGCGGGTAAAGACGATTATGCTGCTTATGCGTATGCAACATGTGTATTACCTCAACAAGAACCAAGCGACCCAGATTACAAAGAAATTTCTACAGACAGTGGTAGATTTTGTATCGCTTATCAAAACACAACAGCCGCTGCAAATAATATAGAAGCATCACTAAAAGCATGGAACACAGGCAATACTAACAGTGGTACTGAGATTTTGTCGTCTAAACCTCTTGTTCCTTACACAGATGACAATACAGAAAACGATCATCGTAGTTCAACACCGCCACCCCCAGGGTTGTAAATAATAAAACTGTAAAGAACACAACAAACCCCCATTTCATTACTTTAGTCACATTGCTCCACTCACTATGTATTTGGCGCTTTTGCGTATTATAAGCTGTGCAGCGTATTTAATTTGGTGTTTGTACAGCGATTTTCTGGGTTTAATTAACTTGTAACATTTTACTATTTCTGTAGAGCATAAACTATTCTAGTACAAAAAAGAATGAAGTTGGTGAAACAACATTTGCATGTCATGGTAACTAAAGTGTCCTATGAATAAGGGTAGGCGATGCTGAATGATTTAATGCCACCAACGTAGTTATTTGACCACGTATTTTTCGTAAACATTACTGACATGTTATGAAGATGCCGCGCCATCTTTTTTATCAACTGAGCTTTGTCCTTTCTTCGGACAGAACCAACTTTAAGCAACGAAGCGCCTACGAACTTGTTAGTATTTAGGGATTTTGAAACCAGTAAAAAAACATTTGTAATCTAATAACGAGGAGAATGTGCACACTATGAGGCATAGATACCGCGTATCACATGAGATAGAAATAAATAATAACCTATTGGTTTGTATTTTTGTTTGTCAAGTCTTTCTTTGAGACATAAATTGTTGGCATCTCATGGATGATAAAGCCAGGGATTGTCAGTATATCAATCAATCTTCTCGTTGAGAATACTTCCACATAAGTATTCTGAAGAGTTGTTGTTTTGATATCTTTGCTTACTTGTTCAACACCATTTTCTTGGACATTTACATAAAAATAAAACTTGGCAGTGGAATCACAAGGTCGACTTGTTTTGGAATGTAACCATGATGAAATTTTTCCAAAAGGCGGTGAACCAGAGGGATAATACGTAATCAGCGCATCTTGCCGTTCAGATGATACATTAAGTATGTGATTGCTCCATATAGTACATAAACGTGTCAGTTGCTCTTGATCATGTACGACCAGACGTATTGATTTCGAATGGCTGGTAATAGAAGTTACATCTGAAGCTTCTTCTGAAGACATAAGACTAAATTCTATGCTCCATAAAATACTTTTAGGTTCGTCTTTTTGTATATGGACACGGGTTTTGTTGACTTTTGTACGTGACAACATGAGTGTTGATGCGAGTCGAAGTGTTACACCATATTCATTGGCCAACTTTACTAGTTGATTCCTTCTACGTATCCTCCCAGTATTTCGATGAGATAGCTAAGGAAAAAATAGCTGGAGATGATAAAACTCGTAGCACTGTGTCTATTACTTATTAAAAAAAACAGTACAGTCAGTCAGTAACAACGTAGAACTTCGTACGTACGTACATCAGTTCGAGTTGCCACACCACATAAGCACAGAGATGCAGTTGTCGATTCAAATCCCGTAGTGGTAGAGGTAGCAAGAGTATAAGCAGTAATCGGGAAGATTAGGGTTTGGAGATGTTATTCAAGGAGTATAATCCAGTGAAATAAATTTGGGAAGAGGAAAAAAGGGACATGAAGAATTCAGAAGATTAGAATTTGGGAGAACACAGAGAGTGGATGCACCTGCGCCATTGCAAACGATTTTGAGCCATGTCATTCAGGGTCTCTAATCATCGGTTGCTATCATCTCGCGGTCCCCAACCAGGTAGTCTGCACCTACCAACATGACTCAGTCCACTTGTCAGTGACTTCATGGACTTGTGCCATGTTTTGGTTTGGCCGCCCCTAGCTTTTTTCCAACCTACTCCTATACCACTGAACATAGCACGTCGAGGCAGTCGGTCGTTGGACATACGTAACACGTGTCCCAGCCACCTCAACTGATGAAGTTTCACTAATTCATCAATTGATTTGCTATCCTTACCTAGTACCCGTTTCCTAACAACTGTGTTACTTACTCGATGGTCCCAGGATATACGAGCAATGTTTCGAAGACACCTATGATCGAATACTAGTAGCCTACGAATATCCTCTACTCTTACCGGCCATGTTTCACTGCCATAAAGAAGGACGGAACGAACTGCTGCGCAGTAGCAGTTCGTTCCGTCCTTAGGTAAAAAAAACAGTACAGTAAAGAATCTTCCAAATACACAGTAACCACTGGAAAAGTTGGAAGTTCGTGATAAGATGTTAGAGTCTTAAGAGACCATCTTTTTGTTTGAGCGATAGGTTAGCATGGCGACATTAGTACTAATAGAAAGGTTGGCAGTACTTGACGAGATTAACATTTAATTTGTCCTGCTAAGATCATGAATAATATGTCAGTGATATATTTCGTAGTATGAGCTTTCGACCTTAACCTAATGACTTTGGCACACAACCCTGCTCAAAAGATAAACTACACGTAATTTTGTGACGAACATTGTTCGTGAAGAATCTATGATACTGATAAAGCTTGTAAGTGACTACGTGAGAGTAGGGATTAAAGTCGAGAAATGTACGAGTATGTTAGGAATTAAATATCTGCCTATATGTTGAGTGTCACCGACCAAACTAATAGCGAGTAACTAAATCAGATGCAAAAAACATTGGAGAATTACGTAGTTAAAAATGAATATGTAATTATAAGAATGAAACTCACGGGCAGAACATTCGTTACGAATATAAAATCTAGGGAAACTTCGGTGTAACTTCAGGGTTTAGGAGACCAGGAGTGAAGTCTTAGGCTCCATGGTCTTATTTATACACAGTGTGGGTTCATTTATGAGTCCTCTTATGGTTACCGCAGTTCTGCAGCACAGAACAAGTCTAACGATTTTTCACAGATACGACTATAGCTGCTACTTTGACATGGCGGTCGGGCATGGCTGGAACATAAGTCCTACTATTCCAGACAGGTCAGTTGGAGAACAGTACGACTGAAAGCAGCAAGGTCCGAAGACGACGTCGTATTGTTGACTGTTGAGGGGTGCGACGACGCTAAGGTGTTCAACTCGGAAACCAGCATCTGCAATGATATTGTCTTCTCACAACTGAAGGAAGGGGTTTAAAAAGATCGAGAGTAAAAATATGAAAACACCCTACCCCACGGATTTCTGTCTCCGGTGGTAAGGCCTTTCGAAGTGCGGAGCTAACAAGTCAGGACCTCATAAAACGTACGTGCGTGTTCGGCCTCAAGCAGTTGTCTCTTGGTTTTTTGCGGATAAGCTCCTAGGTCGCTCAGACCAACGTTAATCAAGCTTTTTCTAATGGAGTTTTGTTCTCTGAGCTGGATGGTTTAGTCGTGGAGCTCTCGTCGTTCTTCTGAACGCCATCGTCCCAAGGTTTGGGCAACAGAAACTTAACAACCGCCCTTATACCTCTAATAACAGCAACCGAGATCTTCGTGTTTACGATCAAATCCCTCCCCCACTTTTCAATAATTCTCATGTCGCCGTGACTAACCTTTCTGGTATATCTTTATCAACACACGCTACTGATGCTAATGATTTGAGTTCACGAAATGTTATTGTTGGTCTTCCCAAACGACATTCTAAACTTTTAATGTCTAAACTTTGTGTCAGATAAGAGGATAGTTTTTTTAGCTGGGACTTTAGGAATTGTGGCGGGTGATTTTATGCCCAAGTAGGTAAACTAAACCAAACCTAAAGGAATTTGGGGTGGGTCTTACGGTGTCGCGTCTCAGCAAACAGACGGTGATGGCCGTAGGATGTCAATATGCTCAGGTAACCGTCTATTTTTGGCAAGCAGCAACTTTAAGTACACGGAAAAGCATTGTCTAACGTGGAGACCCACTGAATCGACTCAACGATGGACATGAAAAGATCACATTGCCGTTAGCCATCGCTGAGGGGGCTTGATAGAAAACTGTCGCTCATTCTAGAGCATATGTTTAGACTGAGATTACGCTTTAGTTCCAGCGTATTTTTGTCAGCATCTAAATAGACATAAAAAAGCTGCGGCATGAAAACAAGTCTTCAAAATCTGGCTGTTAGTGAGACTATTTCGGGAAAAGACGTGACTATATTTCACTCTTAATAGAAGAGATTGGATCGATGGGTAAAACACCTTAGGGGACAGTTCAACTGGCCTCCAACCGCACTTCAGCTACACACCATTTCTAAGCAATGTGAATGGGAAATTGAGTTAATTCCTTCAACTCTTAGTGAGGTTGAAAAAGCAAGAGGTAGTACTAGGGCCTTGTCGACTAACTCCCGAGGATTTTAAGAATAGTGGTCCAGTTTTAGCAATTAGATCAGCCGAGATCTTAGCGAGAATTCCGAGACCTGACTGTAGTTCTGTCTGACTGATTTCAATCGTCGACCGTACCAGTCTACAAGAAAGGACAAACATTCTCTTGTAATAATCACAGGGGAATCAGTCTAATTAATTGTCTAAAATATTGGCCCCAATAATACTTTAACGTCTAATTAGAGCTAATGGAGAGCGAATCCGAGAAAACCAGGCTAGTTTCAGACTTGGATGTGGATGTAAAGATCAAATATTTACCCTTCAGAAAGTTCTGGAACAGATGTACTTTTCGACGTCCGATAATAGTTGTATTCCTTAACCCTGAGGTGGCGTTTGAATCCGTCGATTGTGTGGTTTTGTGACGGTAACTATCACTGCAAGGTGTGCCAAAGAAGTACGTTAATCTTTTACAGGCTGTTTATTAAAACACTACTAGTCGAGTTATAGCTTATGGCAAACTGTCATCGGAATTGAATACTTCATTTAGTGTTCGTTAGGTTGTCTGCCTTTTCACTTTGTCGTAGACATGCTTTCAGAGGCAACACTTTTATCTAACTTTTAGGGTTGTATTTTCTGCCGGGAGATTCACTCGTTGATGTAGAATACGAAGATGATATAGTTCTGTTTAGTGAAAACGTTGACAAAGCAGTGTTCTAGTTGCCCTAAGCAACAATGAAAGCACGTTTGAGAGGCGGTTATCTCCCTTCAAATATAAAATGATTATTCAGGACTGGCTTACATCAGAGCCTGAGTTAATTATAGGGCGTGGATTAGTTGAACGCATCGACCACTCCATTTATATTGGGAGACTCATTAATCCTGATATTCTGGTGTCTGATGGAATCTCAATCATAGATGTCTTTAAAGCGCTGCCCTTGTATTTTAGGACTACCGAGTAAGTAATGCCTGAATTAGAAATAGGGTAACAGGTAAGGATGACAAATTGATTGAACTAGCATATTTTAATCAACTGAGACAGTTGGGATGTGTTACGTATACCCAACCGCTGTCTACCTTGACGGGTATGTTATATGTAGTAGGAGTGCG